GAGAGGGCGTAGGGATGGAGAGAGAGAGAGAGAGAGAGAGAGAGAGAGAGAGAGAGAGACAGAGACAGAGACAGAGAGACAGAGACAGAGACAGAGAGAGAGAGAGAGAGGTGGGGTAGGGGACGGTGTCAAGAACATGGATATGTATACGTGCATTTGTGCGTGAGTGCCTGCATACGCACATGAATGAGTGTGTGCGTAGGCTATGCAAAATTTGTAGAAAATTATTACTTTTCCTAGTCGCTCCGAATGAGATCTTGGGGCCAGTGTCTCCACATGATGAAGTCACTTCCGTATCGCCAATCCAAAACTCAGCGCTGCAGTCATCACAGTTGTTATCCCTGGGCACGAAGCAATTCATACAATTAAGAGAAATCCTTAGCGGTACGCATATTATTGTCACATTTTTAATCCTAGAAATAGCCCTCCTGACCTCAACCCAGCTGAAAATCTCTCTCTAAGAAGTCATGAAAAACAAGGTCCAAAAACAAACAGCCGTACAACAAAAAGCCATAAGAGGTGAATCAAGAAAGACTGGACAGGCGAAATTCCTCCTGAATAATTTTGCCAAACCCCCATATCAAGCACGTGATCACATTGTGTCTTATTCAAGCGGTCACCCATGCAAAAGTTGGACACACAAAGTACATGTATCGATTTTTATTCAAATCCATTCCACAACAGCTTGCCGTGTAAGAAGCATCAAAGCAAGTACAGTATTTCCTTATCAACTGAGCAATATGTTCACTTTGTTGGCAAAACATATAGAGTATTTACACGTTGTCTAATTGCGTTAGCCCTGTGGGAAGGTGCTTTGTCATGTATAATTTTATAAAATCATGCCTACTTAAATGACACCATGAGGAAAGTAAGGATGCGACGTGACGTTCCAGCACTTGCGCGATGTAGTCATCTAGACGAGGACATCCGTTGATTCTCACAAGTGGGGTTTTTATTCATTATCGCCAGGCCACCCCGAACTATAGCAGTTTCGTGGCCTCTGTTTCTCAGAGACAGATGATAATGGCTAAAATCTAACTAACACAGTTCTTGTCCAAAATGGGCTGGTATTCTACACAAAATAAAAGGCTCGTAAACAATAGACTATTGAGCTCATGTGACGTTAAGTCCAAGTTTTGCGTGGTATTTGTGACTGCTCTGTTTTCTATGTTGTGGGAAAATATCGTAATAAAACATTGTGCATCGCAGAGACAATATAATCACATTCCACATTTTTTCGGACGCCACTGTATATTTTTATGTATAGTAGCATGTCTCTCAACTGTTCATTGAAACAAAACTGATTTTATGAACATGATTGTTTTCAGAAAGTCAGTGGTAGGCTATTCCAGGGTAACTGACGGAATATTTGGAGTATACTTTTTTACAATGATAACACTGTAATTGTAAATCAATGTTAGTTATTTTTTTCATCTTTAAATGATCAGAAGATTTAAAGGGTGTGATGTTATTAAGAATCACATTAAATGCGGTCATAAAAAAAAAAAGAAACGTACTTTATGCAATTTTTGTGACGTGTTAAGTTTCGGTAACTGACCGACGGGACAGAAAAAAATATCTCATGAGGTAGGTAGACAGATAGATAGGTAGGTAGGTAGGGAGGTAGGTAAGTAGCTAGGTAGTTAGCTGTAGGTAGGTAGGCAGATAGGTAGGTAGGCAGGCAGGTAAGTAGGTAGGTAGGCAGGCAGGTAAGTAGGTAGGTAGGTAGGTAGGTAGGTAGGCAGGCAGATAGGTAGGTAAGTAGGTAGATAAAAAGGTAGGTACGTAGGTAGACAAGTAGGTGGGTAGGTGGATAGGTACTAGTGACCAACCAAAAAAACCCTTTACCCAAAGAGTTATAGGCTTTCCGGTGGGTAACGTTTTTTTGGTCAGTAGGTAGGCAGGC